TGGTGCGCGAATCGGGGTTTAACGTAATGTTTGCCGTCAAGCGTCCCGAACGCAAAGTTGGCCACCATTGACTCCTGTCATTGGGGTCACAGGTGTACAATTCAAGTTGATTCCAGAATGTCAATGTGAAGGTACGCGTTAAATAGAAAATATCAAGCTCGGAAGGAGGAAGAGTTGTTGCACTATCCTGCTATGCCTGACGCCGGTGTCATAGCCTTCTAATAAGCTAGGTCATTGAAGAAGCCTTGAAAGTTTTGATCATTAGAAAGCCCGCCGCTTCTCTGGCAATCATCTACTCTTCCTGGTTGAATAAGTGATTGTTTCAACACCGTGCAGGACAGCAACGTTCGCCAATCCGCAGCCTCTGATCGAAATGACTTTTGCAGAGCGCGGTCCGAAGCAAAGCTTCCAAAGAGTAAACTTATACGGGATACCGCAAACAAGATGGCAGGTCCATGCTTGTTACAATGCCGATCAGGAAGCATGGGCTGTTCGGCAGTTGGTGAAGAAACCAATTCGATTGGAACTCCGGAATTGTCTCGGGAAACTGTGTCACAGCTCACCCCTCCTGCGGGCCATAGAGTGAGTTCTGCTGTTACCAGCAAGCATATGATTGTAGTCACAGCTCCCGGGGTCTGATTTCTCATGCGTGCCAGCGCTTGTAACATTATAGGCCCCACAAGAGGCTTCCCGCATCTGTGCAAAAGTCGAGTCCCCAAGCAGTGACATCAACCCATACAAGAGGCAATGGCAAAACCTGACTAGAATCTGGTTGGAGTTGTGGCAGAATTGGAGGCATCAAGCCACAGCTTCCCGCGTTGTTTCTAATCTGATGCCCCCTCTGCAGATCACGTGTCCTTTAATCTGGGCCTTAAGAGATATAGCCCTAGCTCCAGTCGAATCTGAACGTGCCAGCAGAACGGACAGGGCCTGATTAATACAAAGAGAAGAGCACAAGACTTTGCTGACAACATCGCTTCAGCATTACACACCTGCAGTGGCGAGCCCGCTTTGCCTGACTTCCTTCAACATGCTCACGTACCTTGTCATGGTGGATAAGATCGCACGTGATCCTGCGCAATGCACCCACACAACCAAGTTGAAAGTCAACCTTGTATGGGGATGTTCTTGGTCCCATCATGCGCGAAGGCCAGGCCATGGAAATATTCGGGTGAAGATTCGCGCGATGCTTGGGTTGCAGCTTGATCTTTTGCCTCCATGATCATTGAACGCAGATGGTTCGAACTTCACCTAGAATTTTACCAAACTAAAGCAGCCGTTCGCATCTGGACTGGTGTGGCCGCATTGGACCTCTGAAATTGTTCCACTTGGCTTGAACTTCTGAAGACGAGGGTTTGACTGACAGATGCCATCAAAATCTGCTTGGAGAACGAGAACCATTGGGACGTCGTCGGCGCCGGAACATGGAGAAGAGGACGAACATGTCAAATGCAAGATTTATTGTGGGGCAGGCTTTGCATGATTGAGTGATTATTGAGTGCAATATTAGTACCAGCAGGTCGAACAGCCCATGGACTGGTCAAGAAATCCTGTTTGGCTGCTTCTCCAAGCTGCTCCAAGCCCAGCATGGCAAAGCCAAGGCAATTCAGGCAAAAACTTCCTACACCCTCCAACATGAGTTGTGACATCACCAATTCGCACCCGCTCATAATTTTGTTTACAATGGCCGCCCAAAGCATGCAAACTACTTGACAGAACATCGCCGGGTTTTCAGGTTGCAGGGCCGGTGCGCGTTTTCCACTCGAATGGACTTGGTGCCTTGGAAGCTGACGGCAGGGTGGTCCTTATGCCGTGCGATAAATTGGGACAGATAAATGAGGGTGAATCAGTATTGGCCCTACTGGCGGAACGTTCAGCACCACGAGCATTTTTCAAATACGTGGCATTTGTGCTTCAGCGGGGCAATTCATTGATAGCGTATGATAGCGTCAACTGGTTGGCAGCCTCATTCTGTTGGTCCAGGGAACAGTGTGAGCCATCATGTGGTACTTGCCATAAACTGTCAAATGCTCTGGCTATAGGCCTGAAGAAATGCATTCCTCACAAGCAAGCACAAAACTTTCCTCCCATCGGCATTTCCCGAAAACTGGGTCAGGTATTTCCTGACAAGTATGGAAGGCTCGAGATCCCGCCACTGAGGCGTGTCCTGCGCACTGGTATCGCAGAAGGATTTGGGAAAGCCATCGAGGCTGAGGCATCAACCAGAAAATCGGAATGTGGTTCGCTTTGAAGGCGACGTTTTATTGAAGTTGGAGTTCCCCTTCGAGACGTTGAGACGCATGTGTGCAGCCCTGGCAGCTGAACGGCCAATGTTTGTTTCCGACATGCACACAAGTCGATCCTTTGGTTGCTCATGGCATTTTGGTTTGGGTCCCGCCCGTGAGTTCTGGCACTCCAGCGTCACAGCTGCTCATAATGCACCAAGTGGTCCTGCAGCAACCTCTTCATCCAGCGCCGCGGAGCAATTCATTGTGGAACATAAGAAGCCTCGACCGGTTCCACGCTGGCGCAACTATCCGCCAGATGCACTTGGTGCCGAATCTGTTGCCATGGTCCATTGGCGTGAGACGCCAAGACAGGCCGCCGACCTTGGCCACCTGTTTCACATTGTTTCGAACCTCGATTAGCAGGCAGCCGCAATATTGTTGACAGCCATGTGGCGTTGCTTTCCTGGCTATTGGAAGGAGAGAGGCTTTTGCCATCAACGGTCACAACTGCAGCGTACAAGACAAGGACCCAGCACACGGTCTCGGAAATTTAATTCCTCTTTAACATCCGGTGCCTGTGTTTGATTGCCCAAATAAGGGCTTGGCGACGAGAAAAATCACAATGACTTCGGGATGGCAAAGCCTTTGGATTCTCTTAAACGCTGCCAAGCATGTGGGCGATGGTCGGTCGATGTACGTATATTGAAGAACAGGTTTGGCCTGCGTGATCCGCACTGAAATCGCCTGGATCTCACTTTTCCCCTGGTTTGCTAATTTTCCCGGTCCTGATCACAAACGACACATCCCAAACAGCTGATGACACTTCTGAATGGCTCCTGAACCCAAACAGAAGAATGTTGGAACGAGATTTGTTAATGGACCTTGCTTGAAACAGCTGACCTGATCACCAAGCATCAGCGCAGCAAACCTTCTGCTTCAAATTACTTTCGTGATCTTTCGTGAATGATTGGTGCTGTTTCCATTTGGCCGGTATCTGTTGGTCTTCATGTTCGGGCTCTGCAACTCGCAGTTTTGATTTCCTGAACAATTAAAAATAAAGTCTATCAAGACGGCGGGCTCCCCTGATTTTGAAAGATTGATCTGCAACATCTGCTGTGTGCCCTCCCCACATTTCTCAGTTTGAGCTGTTGCTGATTGCGGTCTTCTGTCGGAGTTCGTCGTTTGCTGGCTGCTAAATGTGGATCTAAGCGGTTTGAAACTGCGGCAAGGTGGTGATGCTGCTTGTTGCTCATGATTGGAGGAAGTTCAGCTGCTTGATACGGTGATTTGCGCTCTTGGAAGCACTACGATTTCCAGGGCCCACCTGCTAGCGGCTTTGATGTCTCTTCTAGTTGCAAGTTTTCCCGCATTGTCACTGCTCTACCTGCTTGCTATGTGCAATCACAACGAAACCATGATGTGCGTATACTGCCACCAGGTCATAGCCGCTGTTGCCCTGACCTTTTGGAACTCGTGCGTTGCTTTGCCAGTTTACCGGCTTTCGAGGATGGCACGTGAACACACATCCAAAACCACAGACGGCACTTCAGTCTAGCAGAAGTGAATGCAGTCACAATATGTTGTGTATCGTTCCGCATATTTGTGACGGAATACTCACTGTTTCAGGCCTTTTTGTGGAAAACCTCGACAGTATCAAACGCTGATGAATAAACCCTAGCTGTTTCCGAGTCTCGTTGGGAACTTGGGACACATAGACTCTGTAGTGGAGATTCCGCAGTCAGGATGTGGATGTGGCCTCTGCTTGCGACAGGCCTGTATCATTCAGACCAACTGTGTCGATGACCCGCCAAAAACTTCCACCACACAAATAATCAGCATGAGCCAGCTCCTGCAACGCAGCGTCTATGCGCAGAATTTCCAAGACAGCAATGCAAGTTTCGGCCTGAGTCTCTGAATGCAACCCCCCGGAAACTGGAAATACTGCTTGCCCACACCTGCCACGATTGTTCAGATGCGCAATGATGCACTGCATGAACCATTGGACCCGCTGGACGGATCATAGCAGAATTTGCCCCACCAAAAAAAAACAACAATCCACGCGGTGTCCACCTCAAGGCATCTGGATGCATCTGGAACCCCCAAACCCCCTCCCCTTTCCCCTCCCTCGCCCCTCCGCCCCGAGATGCAACTGGCGCGCCACAGCCTTGACACGCAGCGCATTTTCCCAACGAGCATACACCTTTGTCCGGGATGTAAATAACGCTTTCGTGGCACGATACCTACAGCAGCGCCCTTCCCTCCTCTCGAATTAGCCATTTGCCGTAGGTCTTTTCAACCGGCTGACATCGGCTGATTCAATTTCTACGAGAATTTGTGGACCCGCATGCTCCACATTTTCATTGTTCAGGGGTGCATAGCCGACCAAGTGCCGGGCCAAGTCGCGCCTTCTGGCAGCAAGACCGCGCGTTTTCTACACAAATCGAAAGCAAGGAAATTCTCTCGTCTCGCCCAAGACCATTCATTCCACGTTACTTCCTTGTTGTCAACGTCCTGCTCCGTCATCTTGCGGTCGACGAACCGAGGTTGCCCCCTTCTGCCTGGCCAAAAGAATAACCTGCTTCCGAGAACAGTGTTCTAGTCATGGTGTGCCGCGACAGATATTCCCTTCTTGATGGTATGGAACTCCGTGTGGCTGCCTCCGCCGCGCGGGATTTTGCAAACTCATTCAGGTTTCTAACCTGCTGGGTTCATTCAGTAGTACTCGTCGTGATGCCGCGGATGCCAGGGGTGAGGTACCTGTATAGGGATGTAAAGGTCGACATTCTCACCGGTGATGCCTGCCTAGGCCTCCACCTCGTGCTTCGGCCTTGCCAATGACGCCTCCAAACGTTCTTGGCAGACGGCGGCAGGCGGCAAAGACAGGAGAAGTCGCCGGAGTCGAGGTGCACATGTGCCCTGGCATTTGTAAATGCAAGGTACCTTCTTGCCCAAATGCTTTTATCTCACCAAGGCACCTACTTCACTACCACATTAAACATAACTTTGTGCACAAGCAAGTGGCGCTGGAATTGAATGTTGTTGCCTGGGGTGGCATCAAAGGAAGCTTGCCAATTCATTAGCCTCATCATCCGAAGATTCATGGTTGAGGCAAGCGAAACCAAAGCAGGTAACAGCAAGGACTATGTAGATCACATATGCCCAAGCAACAGCGTAAGCATCATGAAATGTGAACCAAAGAAGCAACAGCTTAAGAACCAGTGCGTCACAGTATGCACCCAGGAGTGGGTGGGTAGGTAAAAAGCAAAGCTAAGCATGTTAGCTAGAAGCGTGAATGGTAGAAGTGTGTACCTTGGAGCCCAAGTTACAGCAGCGTAACACACAGGTAAGGAACATATATGAGTAAGCATATGCAACGTTCATTACCTAGTGTTGGACTTCCACAGCAAAAGCAAGCAGATGCAAGCGGGTGGAGGATCAAAAAAAAAATAAGGATCAAAAACAAAACAAAA